AGTTTACCTCTGAAACCAGCCTATACCTGCCTCCTTCAATCATAAATATCTCGACTTCTGTTCAAGATAGACGGGTCTTTTTTTATATCAAAAGCAAGGCAAATAAACAAGCTTCAAGATAATATCCATAGCTCCATATGCCCAAAAATTGATCAGCGCCTGATTCCACCGTGTCGTGTCGTGAAACATAATATGTCTGTTCAGCAGCATACCTAGGCAATGTTGTGGCACATCTTGAACAATGATACAACAATTAGAAATATGAATATGTATATTTCATAGCACGTATATTATTTATTGACTGTCTTTTAAATTTTAAATGAAAGAAGCAAAATTGAAACATCTGTGCAAACAATAGAGTTGTTTCTTTTCTTAAGTACAAAGAACCATCGCGTCTTTGAACGCTGTCGAATAGCCAGAACGCATGAACTGAGCGAGTTAAGGTAATATATAGTAGGCTCTTTAAAGAATTGGGTTTCACGCTTTTTCAGCTCGTCACAGGAATTAGGGAACAAGACAAAGACGCAAAGAGTCGAAACGTAATTAATGATACCGAACTTTTTAAAACGAAACTTTCGTCTTGTATTAACTTCATGAAAATATTCACTTCTTGGTTGTTTTTATCTGTTGGGGGAAAATCTGATCAATCAAAAATGTTCCAGTCTCAAGAAATACTTCTTTGGGCTGTCCACTTGATAACAGATCCGATTCAAAAGGTTGAAGTTGAAGTGTCATCAACACCTCACATGACGGCACATCTGCCTTTTTTCCGTCTCCCACTTGATCTGCTCCCAGCAGATTTTCTCTCGACTGGGTTTGAGACTGTGGACTGTAACTGTTCATCTGAAAGTTATAGAAAACATGAAAAATATGGTGAAATGGCAAAATGGAATGCTTTTAACGCTCCTATCAGCTCTATTAGATTATTTAAAAAGTGGACCCTGCGAGATTAACGCCCATCTTTGAAAGGACCCAGCAAAATAGGAAATGCATATAAAGTGCCTTTCCCAAGGACACAACGTCGGACCGAGCTGAGGCTCGAAGCCCCGAACTCGCAATCTCTTAATACGGGTTCGGTAGCCTAACCACTGGGCTACCGAAAACACTATTGTACAAAAATGATTAATTAGACTACAATCTCATCGGGTATCAGGGGTGAAAGCTGACTTGTTTGAAAGGATAATCAGATTGAGACAGACAAAGGGAGGAATTAAGCCTCACCCGCAAAACTGTCCCACAAAAGGAACATAACAAAGCTTTTTATTCGAGGCGGCATCACTGAGTTGTGAATGAAAACAAATCATCCTGAATTCACATTATTGTACGTTCATCCGCCAAATAAATCGAGAAAACATTTCCCTAAATAATGTTATTCCACTTTGGGCAAAACGTAATTAGAATGTTCTAACACACGGTGGGAATAGTTGTCTCAAGATTTTTCAATAGTAAAATTAACTAAACACGTGAATACACAGAAAGAAAGCAAAGAAGCAGAGATGACAATGCTCAAAATTATGTATTTTTACAATTCAGTTTTATATTTCATTGTCTTTGTCTAGGCTAGCTTTCATTGGCCAAGAGATCATTATCACGACCTGATTTTAAGGCGGTAAAAAGTACAGCTGGAGTCTGCTCGATTAATCGAAGGCTTGCGAGAAGTGGACGGCTTGCGCCAGAATCTTGCGAACAGGCTTGTGCTTTGTTTTGTCTGCCGCTCGCAAACGGGGGGAACTTCCGTGAGTTGTGACGCGTGGACAGTCCTGCTGTACTGTGTCGTGAAGTCGCCAACTCTCGTGGCTGTGGGCTCAGTACATATTACAGAAGATTTTGGTTATTTGCGTTAAGAGGCTTGCACCAAAAAGTGCAAGATAGTTGTTTTTTTTGGGGGGGGGGGGGGGTGGGTTGTTGTTTTTTGTTCATAGTCAGGTTGTAAAAAAGAGAAAGCCCTATTCAATGCACTTAAAAATAAATTAATAGTGGATCGGCTATTCTTACGATGCAAAGGCAGGGGTTTTTTTGTTAATGGGCACAGGCCAAGTGTTTCGTTGTCGCACACAAAAGACCTCAGTTCGATTCCCGTATGGGGAGAAATATTTTACTGAATACCTCCGTCTTTCTGCTGGGGCTTTGTTCCCTCTCAGCCCAGGTTTATCCTGACATTGGGTTGACGTAGGCCTAGCTCGTCCCCTGGATGTTTCAGTATTATGTGACTGGGAGTGTTAAACATCTACAAAATAGGCTACATACATACGATTCCAAAGCCAACAACAACAAGCCCTAAAGTTTTCCATTCTAAGGTAATCTAAGTCTACTTATTACTACAATACCACGCTTCCTCTCACTTCATCCACTCCCTAGCTGATCAAGGGCGGGAAGTTCAAAATAGTTTCGGCTGTCCACGTCCTGCACAAAACAAGCACAGCCTCTCACTTCCTCCAGAGAGAGAGAGAGAGAGAGACCTGCTCGCGGCTGGCAAGTCTCAAGTCCCGGTCGCAGCACAGCAAGCCACGCGCGCCCCATAACTTGCTTTGCTTCCCATGACTTGCTTTTTAGGCATATTTTACTAATGCAATTGACTACTTATATAAACAGCGCTTGTGACTACTCAGGAGAGTGGCCCGAAAGGTGTGAACAGGGTATTTTTTATGCAATGACAGAAACAGTTTTGAGTGTTGTGCACTCGGCTCAAGTATACACTATTTAAATTTCAAGTTTAAGGCTTACGTGTATTTGACGGTGACGGTGTTCCCAAATAACGGAAGGAAATCAATGATTATTGAATTAAACAAGAAATACAAAGAAACGAGCTATAACGTTTATTTAGTATGTTATGTATGGACACAGTATAGCATAGCTGGTTGGAGTACACCACTGGCAGGTCTTGCTTTTCTTCTCTTATATTTCTGTTTGTCTGTCCTGCTTTTTCCAGAACATTAAAATAATAACCGTTAACGTGTCAATGCTCGTCTCGACTCAGAAAAACGAACGAAAACAGAGGCCCCGTTCTAAGTACACGCAACAACGTTCACTTAAAACACCTTATGTGCATCTATCAACATTGTCTGTCTGTATGTCTGTATGTCTGTATGTATGAATGTATGTATGTATGTATGTATGTATGTATGTATGTATGTATGTATGTATGTATGTATGTATGTATGTATGTATGTATGTATGTATGTATGTATGTATGCT